TCTTAACTATTTAAGCTTTCCCTAAAGCCACTGTTGTTTCATAAAAGAATTTTCCACACCTTCCAAGCCATTTCATCTAAAGCATATCCCTCTGAACACATGATTGATAGCATGTTAAGAAAAGAAAGGAAGACAAAACTAGAAAACTGGTAAAGACTGAAAGACAAAGAAAAACCACAGAATTAGTCACCAAGCTAGGCTCTACCTCCTCTTTCCTTGTGACTGATTTTTATGGCATACCTTACCTGGAATCAGAGCCAAGAAGGTGACGTGATCCAAGTACATATTCCTTATCCAGGCCAGGAGAAACTGGCAGTTTGACAGCACCACCATAAGTTCCCTTGGCCCAGGCTACAGGGTTTCCAGGAGTAGTTACCTGGCATACAGAGAACACACATTCCCACACTGGTCTTTTGGTCCTAAAAAGATATCTTTTATCATTTAGAATTAAGAATAGCCTTGAGCAAAGAGAAGACTGCTTGCTTATAGGCTCTGGCCCACCTTTTGAACACCACTGCTCTATAATGACTAGAAGTAATATCAGTGATTAGAAGTAATAATAAGAAAGAATCATTCATTAATTCTGTAGAGTTGACCAGAACTTGCTCTGAGCCAGGTCCCATGTTAGATTTTGGGGATAAAGAGCTGAAGTAATACTACAGTTCCTGCCTTTAGAGACTTTACAGACAAGTAAAGGAAGTAAATGAAAATAGTTTTATACTGGATTTAATGCTACTGTTGTTTTCGAAAGGTGAGGGTTTATCATGCCTCTCTTCCCAAATTTGGGATTGCTAACCCACACCGAGCTTCTAAGACCTTAATGTGGGGGGGTGGGGGGAACCATATCCTTATGTGGACTTCTTCAGATGTGAAACCATGGTAAATACAAATAATAGTACTTGTGTTTTTATTGCAAAGCACTTCACATATTACAAAATTAAATCCATATCTAATTCAATTGTCAAAGTAACCCTATGAGGGATGAGGAGATTATCTCCTTTTATAGAAGAAATTAAGTGCTGGGTGCTTGGGTGGCTCAGTCGTTAAACATCTGCCTTTGGCTCAGGTCATGATCCCAGGGTCCTGGGATTGAGCCCAGCATTGGACTCCCTGTTCAGCTGGTAGCCTGCTTTCCCCTCTCCCACTCCCCATGCTTGTGTTCTCTCTCTTGCTGGGTCCATCTCTGTCAAATAAATTAATAAAATCTTAAAAAAAAAAAAAGAAATTAAGTGCTCAGAGAAGTGACTTGCCCTTACAAAACTAGTTAATTTGAAACAGAAATCTAGATATTTTATTTTCAGTTCAAAGTTCCTTTTAATCATATCATGATACACTCTTCACCCAAATTTTGAAGAAAAGCCTAATGACTCATTTGCAACTATAAGAAATGACTAGGATAATGCCAAGATCTGCAGAATGTACTAATAATGTGTACATTTAATATAAAATAATTAGGTTTCCTTCAACATGAAATGGAAAAATTATACAAAAACAACACAGAGAACAATTTGTGAAGACTTCAAAAAATCAAAAATGCCACAATTCTCCCATCCTTAATCTTCCCATAATCTGCTCATATAACAATAAATTCTGGTTTGCCAATAATTTATTTCACAAGTCTTCTATGGTACAAAAACACAGCGAAATTAAAACATTTCCCACAAAGCCACTGCACAGATTTTCAATCAAACCTGAAAGGCTGAGGAAACACTCCCAGAAACCACTCTGCTGTCTGGGAACTTGTAACCCTGTTACTTCAATTTCAAGTTCAAAGAGTGGACAATGCATTTATAGTACAAAAATTCAAGTTTTCCCAATCTTTAAAAATACTAAGACCATTATTCAAGTAAAAAGGAAAAGCCCTTAAAAAGGCTCAAAAAGAAATCCATCAAGCAATAACGCTTAAAGAAAACCCTTTCCAAAACGGAATGTGGGAGTGCGCAGATCCATGAACAATTTAAATATCCTTTCTGGTGTAAGACAGTTCTTTCATTAAAGTAGACCACCTGTCTTTTTGTAACTGCTTTTCTGTTCTAAGAGAAAAACAAAACACATCTCCTCTGAAATCATGTACAACTAATTTACAAACATAACCATTAGTTATTGTCTTATCTGAACATTTACTATGAAACAATTTCAACACAATCACCAAAAGCTTATGCTTCCTCTGCTATCAGTCATATACCATATATAGTTAAATGCACTGTTTTGCCAAGGCCCAAGGTAATTGAATCTAAAAATATACTTTTCTTTTTTTTCATTCTGAACTAGCCAGATTGGTATTTAAACCAAACGTCATCAAATGCTGCAATAAATTTGCCAGGATGAAAAGGTTATTTAAATACAAACTGTTCAAATGTATCACACACAAAAAAAGACTTAGTGATTACATCCAGGCTCATCCCCCAACATGTACACACATAAGAAAATAAAAATTAAAAAACAAAACGAAATTAAAAAACAGTAAAAAACACTGAAGGTGAGAAAAGAACTAATAACTAAAAGAAAAGGCAGACTTTATATAGTCCAATGAAGACTATAAGATAAACAGGAAAAACATCTGATATTAAGCAAGTATCAGCTGGGGGAATGGGGGAATTTTTCTTTAAAATTACTACACATACTTAGTTTCTACTTTGGTTTTAGGCAGAGGCAGTGACAGATTTTAATGTGAAAAAATATTTCTAATAACATCTAAATTTGGTACTAGGACAAAAGAAATGTAAAAATCTGTTAACAAAAGCTCTTATTAAAAGAGTTGTCTTCTAGGTCATTAAAAAATCAGCTTGAGGGGTGCTGGGTGGCTCAGTGGGTTAAAGCCTCTGCCTTCGGCTGGGATCGAGACCTACATCAGGTTCTCTGCTCACCGGGGAGCCTGCTTCACTTCCTCTCTCTCTGCCTACTTGTGATCTCTGTCTGTCAAATAAATAAATAAAATCTTAAAAAAAAAAAAAAATCAGCTTGATTAGCCACTTCCAGAAAATCAAATAGATATTTTCTTTTTTCCATAAAATTTCCGTAAGATCTGTACCAAAGGGTTTTCTCTTTTCTCACAAGATGGAACTCCATTGCAGGAAAAAATTAAAAGGGCTCAGCATCTGCAAAAGTAAAAATCCACTGATTTAACATCAGTTTTCTATATATATATATATATAAAAAAAATCTTTGAGATTCTCATTTTGCTAAACTAAAAACTCACAAGCAAACTGCAAATCTGAACAGGTTACATTCTCCAACACGTATGAAAAGGGAATTTTGGTTTTTTTAGATTTGTGCCACATAAATAAAGGAGAAATGTACAGAACCATTTTTTAGAATCCAAGAGAAAAGGTTTTCCAATTCAAATGGCAATTAAACAGCCATTCATTGTTAAAATAACTTACAATTTTAATGAGTTCTAAATATTGAAACAGCTTAGAATCAAGTTTTCTAATAGTAAATATAAAGAACAAGCAAGCAAGCTTTTGGGAAGAATTCAGAATCTGAAATTTCAATGTTTATGTAACACTGATTCACTTGAAATTAAGTAGTTTAAGTAGAACACATATTTGAGGTTAAAATCAAACTGGTATCTAAAACCTAAAATCGTAAGACTGCTGTCCTTCACTTTAAACGGGGGCAGTAGGTTTTCTAATATATGACAAAAAAACCCCCAAAGTCTATCTCCCTGTTTTATAAATATCCGTGTCCTTTCCTGGATTCAAAACGCCACTTTAACCCATTTCCCCTGGGTTTCTTCCATCTCACTGAATACCATTGTTGTATTCAGATTATAACATCTAGCCAAAGGCAGAGATCATGTAAGTCCCCTGAAGACTTCCAAAACATTAAAACCAGTAGAAAAAGCAGAGGAAATACTCTCATGCCTGGAGCTCCTGGGAAGTCCTTCTCTCCTTTTAGAAAAATAAACTTCTTGTTCTAAAGATAATCACTTGAAGAACAAAACAGCACTAGTACATACAAATATACAGTACTCTCGATAATTCTACAGAGTTAACGTAATAACATCCTAAAGGTCTTGCTAGTACTTTGGCTTAAAAAAGGGAAGACTAAGTAAAGAACTGTTATACCAAAGGACCTTTTTTTTCCTCAGAAAGAGAATAGCAATGAAGATGTCCTTTCTCATTTTCCTTCTCTCATTCAAATGTGCATTCCTTAACACTAACTAAAAAAGATTGCTTATAAAAAGAATTAGATGCTACTTTGTTGATTCCATTTAACCAAAAAGAGAACATCTCAATCCCCTTCTATTTTCTAAGAGTACTAGTTAAATATACTGTATATTTTCTGACTCAATTGCTTAGGACACCTTTCTCCCAGATATTCTGATATTTCAAAACTCTCTGGATTAAAAAAAAAAGAGAGAGAGAAGACTAAAGATTTACTTTTATATGTTTTCACCATTACACAGAAAAATGGCAGCAATTAACCTATCTTTTGTTTTTCAGCTTATTGAAACACATTTTGCTGTAAAGAGAAATCTAAATTCAAATATTTTCAATACACACATAAACAAAAGCATGGGCAAAAATACAACAACACAATCACTTTCTATGCACACGTTTCTTTAGATCTCCCTTTAGATCTCCATGAAGCACGGCACGGAGAGCAGCTCAATTTTTCATAAAAATTACATGATTTGACTGCACTTTTGCTTCATTTATGGTACACTGCAAAATTTTAAAATTAGTGTTCACGTGTTCACATTTTTCACTGTATTGAGAATTCTCTCATGAGAATAAGACATAAAAAACATAAAACATTTGGCTTTCTAAATGACAGTGCTAAAACTTGCGGTGTAGTTCTACTTTGGCATATATAAAGAAAAATTTTAAATCCTGTTAATTCATCACTGGTTTTTAATATTCCACATTAAAAGAATTCAATTGCATATGCAGCCCAAACAGCTGGAAAGAACCCAGAAAAGCGACAAAATGACTTTTTAAAAATGCTGACGCTTCTCACACCCAGGTTCAGTCATGCCCATTGAAGAGAGGTGTTAGATATGGCTTTATTTTAAATCTTAAAAATGTAGTCATTTTTGTGACATTACAAAACCTGGAACCAAGAGCAATTTATCTTCACCGTCCTGATTCTTCTGATGCAAAAACACTTTTTAGAAAATAATTTCTGCAAACTTAGAGGGTATTTTTGAATGATCATTTGTTTGCTATTGCTTAGAGTCTAATTATTTTGTCCCAGATTTCCTATTGCAAAGGAATACAGAGAGAAAAAGGAAACACACAAACACACATACACACCACAGTGACCCAGAGCGTCTGAACCACTTCAGATATGGCATCCATTAAGGGGGTCTTTGCTCCTAACTGTGTAAGGGTCCTTAGCTATGGTCTGATTTGCGCAAGAAGTACACATGGCCCCTGAGAGGCGTTTTAGTCCCCTTTGGAAGACACTGTTGGAGAGACTATAAATGACACAGTTGCAGAAACTGTTACTAATAGCAAGCCAGGTGGTCAAGAAGGAGGCGAAGCGGTTGCTGTGGCCTGTGGAGCTCTCCAACAAGAAGTAGATGATGTATGGCAACCAGAGGATGTAAAATACACTAGTAATTCGGAACAGGACCATGGCATAGCGCTTATCGGGACAGGTCTGCACCTCCCCAGTCTCCCCACTCTGGCTGCTGAAGCGGGCTTGCCTTTCGCTGATCTCCTTTGTGTGCTGTTGGCAGATGCGGAAGATGTTGAAATAGGTGAAACACACAATGAGGGCTGCCGGGGCATACAACATCACCACGATGAAGAGGGTGAAGTAGGGGTCGGTATGCCAGGACTCTGCACACCACTGAAACACATCTCCATGATATCCAGGTTTGCCCCAGTGGAAAAAGGAAGGCAGGAAGACCAGGGTGGAATACAGCCAAATCAGGAAAATACACAGACGTAGTCTCCAAGGCGTGACCAGGGTATTATAGGTTAAAGGTTTAGTGATAGCAATATATCTATCGATGCTGATACAGGCCAGAGAGGCCATGGAGACACTCTTCAGAACGGACACTATAAAACCGAATACTTGGCAAGTCAAAGACTCCTCGACTGGAAGTGGGTAGTGGAGGAGTGATAAAGAAGGGACCAGGCAGCTGACCCCAACCAAGAGGTCAGCATATGCCATAGTCTGAATAAAATAACTCGTAGTATGATGGTTCAACAAAGGTGCGCAGTGAAATACAAAAATCACAATGATGTTGCCAGAAATAATCAATACAGTGAGAAAGACAATAATCAACACTTCCAAAAGGCAAAAATCGACAGTTTCCAAATTGCCAAACGTCAAGAGGCAAAAAGGGTGGCTGCTCTGATTACCATCCAAGGTAGAGTTCATCTTGAGCTTGGGAGTGATCTCTCACTTCATGCTGCCGCTTGGCTGCTGCCAACAGTTCAAAGGAGCAGCTGCTGTCATTGCGGTCAGCTCTGTGTGTCTGTAATAATGCCAGAGGAGTCTTAGTCCCCAAGCTCCTGATGCTGCTCTGGTGCATTGCCTGCAGTACAATTCCCTTTTAAATCCTTCTTGGAATAGGGAGAACCAGCAGCAGTTGTCTGGCCAGTCCCAGATGTGGCCATAGTACCAGGTTTACCATACACATAGCACCAGGGGAGTAAGCCAAACTCTGGTACAGTGTCTTCAGGCCAATGAGGGTAGGGGTAAGGGCAGAAGAGAAGGGAGGAAGATTAGGAGCTTCAGCAGGAGTTGTAATGAGTCTCCTCTGAACAGCTGATAGAAGAAAAGGAGAGAGCATTTTACATTTTGCATCCAATGCCCTAATCAAAGAACCTGGCTAGCTCAGGCTGGTACCAACCCTCCCACTCCATCCTACCCCACCCGGTACAACTATTCATGGCTACTCTCAGCGGCACCCCGCATAACTGGTCCTTTACTCTACAGAGGAGGAGCAACAACAGCAAGCTTTCGTGATCAACATAAAACAAAATCAATCGCAAGCCGGATCAATCTAACCCCATTCTTTTCATTTGAGCCTTCTGGGGGAAGAAAAGGAATCTGCGCATAGCATTTCTGAAAATATTTTACTAGAACTACCACTAATAAAATTACTTAAGGTAATTCATTTCCTTCATTGATTCCAATGTAATATTTCGCCTCTCTGAAAACATTTCAACAGAATTTATCTGTCTAGCTCGATTTCAGAGTGTTACCTGTAATTCTGCATGCTGCAATCCGAACAAAAGCCACAACACATCCTTAACAGAAAGCCTTGCAGTGCAGGAATGTGCCTCAGCCCCGTTTACTGCAGAACTGAGACACAGAGGGAGGGGATAAAGGAGGAGGAGGGGAAACGGGGAGAAGAGGGGGCTTGGGAAAAGGAAGAAGGGGGGGAGGGGAAAGAAAACGCCTGTGTGCACACACCCTACGGCATCCTTAGCAGCTCATTAGAATTCATCGCCAGAGAAGTGGTCCCTGATTTCCCGACTGCACAGTGGGGGAATAACTTAATATGCCTGCAGTGCAGTGTTTGAAAGCTGTTTCCTCGTCTGTCTGGAATCCCCCTTTTAGTAGATGGAGTTTAGAGAAGGGGTTGTAGCCGGGACAGAATGCCAACCAGGAATTAGATTGAAACACACTGCCAAAGGGGTAATGATGAGAGGAAATTCCTATTTTCTTATAGCATTTTCCTCAAGAACAAAGAGCAATGCTAAAGAATGAAAGTGTGTTAACCGTGCATGGCAACTGAGGACTTCTAATTCAGTAGCACAAGGAGTTCTAGCTAGAAGGCTAAATGTTCAGCATTATTTCCTCTCATGATTCACTGGATATTGGTAAATTTTAAGAAAGATGACAAAAATAACAAGCAAACTTAAAAATCAGTTTTTCAAGAGAGAAAGTAAAGAAAACCTCACCCATTCTCAACACTGAGGAAACAACACACAAGCACACTGTCCTATATTCAATGCTACCCTATAGCTTTGAGATACCATTTCTTGCTTCTAGTTTACTAAGAAGCAGTGCACAAAAATACACACAAAAGGTGGACAAGTAAATATACCCACTTCCACTCAGGCTTTAAAACTGCAAAAGTTTCATGGTACAAATTAGCTTATGTATCTTAGAATACACAATCTTGTCTGTGCCTACTTTAAACAATGCAAATTGGGATTATATTGTGGGATATATTACACTGTGCCAGTATTGTATTCTGATAATGTCATAAATAACAATTTTTCAGCTAACTGGAAATGTGTACTTTTCATACTTTTTCCTCCAGGTATCTTTGGACTCTCGATTCATTCTTTTAAGTAAAGTTCCACATACCCAGTAGGGTGAAAGAAAATAAGCAAAGGTTGGCATTTCTAAGCATTCTAGAAAGACGGCACACCTGGGCAGGGATACATGTTATGTCATTCAATTTCCATTTTTTACTTGTCTCACATATATGCTTCCTCAATAAAAGCAAATGGCCTCCCATAATCAGAACTTAGTTAATTATATTTTAAGAGCTAAAGCACCGTGCTTATTATAGGAAGGCAACATTAAAAAAACCTATGGAGTATAAGCTTGATAGCTATATTTGAGAGATCTTACTGGAAAACATGACAAAGTGCAGCATATAAAAAACCCATGGCACTGAACACCCATGTGGTTCAAATCCTTGGTCTTATATTACTAAAGCTCTCTTACCCTCAGTTTCATCATCTGTAAAATGAGGACCAAACTCCCTATTTCACAGTTACTGCAAAATAAAGGAGACAGTGTATACATACAAAAGCTTAACAATACTTAGCATGTAGTGGGTATAAAACTTTATTCCCTTTCTTTTCCTAGAATTAAAATACCCTTCTTCCTAGGTAGTCTGTTTTCCTGCCAACCATGCTGCACTACTTGAGGATGGGCTCCTCTGATTCCTTAAGCGCCCCTCTTACTGTGACTGCCCAGTTCCGAGGCACTGGGATACTCTGGATACTTTGCTGTCACACATTCCTCAAATACAATGAGGCTATACATATGTAAGGCAGTAAAAAACAAACGATGATATGACATTAATTATTCCTCTACACTAATTATTCCTCTGCCTTTGTCTCCAGCCCTGACTACTCCTGAGCATTCTTTCCCATTTACAATTTGCCTGCTAGTCTACATACATCTTCCACCTGAATGGCCCGTACACTTCACCCACAGCACGTCCAAAATTAAATACATTTTTCTCAACAAACTGGCCTCTTTTTCTTGTTCCAACACTCTTTTATTTTTTTTCTAAGCCCTCAGGTAAGAAACTAAGGAATTATCTTGACCACTCTCTCCCCACTCAATGTACTATTCTTACTCAACAGGTTCCTGGGAATCTGTTTCTACAGTAGCTCTCAACTCAGTTTTTAATACTTTAGGCCATCATTACATATTGTCTGGGTTTCTAGTCTTGTTCATTTTTCTGATCTATTCATTTCTGCCTAAATATCTAATAGTATATGCTTCATTATGGTACCCACAGTTCAAGAAAAGTCAACGGCTCCCTAGTGCCTCTCCAATCTGATTTCCCTGTTCCATACCCACCCCCCACACACACCTGGCCCTCCAGACAAACCAGCTTACACACTATTCTGTACATTTACCACATACTTTGTTTTTGGACTCTCATTGTTCGAGTGGTTAATACTGAATGAAAAAGGGAATAATTTCTGACAGTTACATTTCAATAAAGAGAAAAGCCATTCACCAAAGTCAGTAGTACAAGATTTTCTAACCACTTGTAAATTTTGTCATGCAACTTATTCTCTAACTCAGGTGTCTCATGTATAAAACTAGACAGTTATGCTGATAAAAAAAAAAAAAAGATGTTACATTGGTTAATAGCTTGAAAGAATTAATGTAATAAAAATACAAGCTGTTACATTACTATCACTAGTGTAATAATAGTTCTTTTAACTTCATTTCTATTTTAGTAAAAACACTTAGTGCTATAATTAAAATATTCATATTAGAAACTCAAAACAACAAAAAGCTTGAGAGCCACACTTTATCAACTCAGTTAAGAGTTAAGTGTTTTGTTTCAGATTAAAGAAAAACATTTTCTTCAGGAGAAAAATATTATTAAGGACATAAAGTGGCAATAAATCTAGGTCCTCAAAAAAAATCTATACAGGGGTGCCTGTATAGGGCAGCACAGTCAGTTAAGGCTCTGACTCTTGGTTTCAGCTCAGGTCGTGATCTGGAATAATGAGATAGAGCCTGGGAGTCAGGTTCCCCTCTCAGCATGGAGTCTGCTTGGTACTCTTTCTCCCTCTCCGTCTGCTCCTCCCCCTGTTACACTCTCTCTAAAATAAATACATAAATCTTAAAAAAAAAAAATCTATATAAACTACCTTTTCACTTTTTAAAATTTTTATTTAAATTCTAGTTAAAGTTTACCATGTAATATTAGTTTTAGGTGTACAATACAGTGACTCAACATTTCCATATAACATTTGGTGCTCATCACGTATTTAACCTATCCCCCCTTCCCCATCTCTAGTAACCATCAGTTTGTTCTCTACAGTTAAGAGTCTGTTTCCTGAGGCTCCTGGGAGGCTCAGTAGGTTAAGGCCTCTGCCTTCAGCTCAGGTCATGATCCCAGGGTCCTGGGATCAAGCCCTGCATCAGGCTCTCTGCTCAGCAGGGAGCCTGCTTCACCCCACCTCCACCTCCCCTCTGCCCCGCCTGCTTCTCTGCCTCCTTATGATCTCTGTCTGTTAAATAAATAAATAAACTCTTAAAAAAAAAAAAGTCTGTTTCCTGGTTTGCCTCCCTCTTCCCCCCACCTTTTGCTCATTTGTTTTGTTTTTTAAATTCCACATACGAGCAAAATCGTATGGTATTTGTCTTTCTCTGATTTACTTCACTTAGCATAATACTTGCTAGCTCCACCCATTACTCATTTCCTTTTTAAAATAACGCAGTCTTGGACACCTGGGTGGCTCAGTTGGTTAAGTGTCTGCCTTCGGCTCAGGTCATGATCCCAGGTCTTCAGATTGAACCCACATTGGGCTCCCTGCTCAAGCTGAAAGCCTGATTCTCCCTCTCCTGCTCCCCTGCTTATATGGTCTGTCATATAAATAAATAAAATCTTTAAAACAATAATGCAGTCTCATGATATATTTGTGTTTTTTGGTAAAAAAAAAAAAAAAAAACCCAACAACAGTATTTCTGCATATACATGTAATTGGAAGGAAGCACAATGGAAATCAAGTCTACTTTTTAGTCGATCGTGGGTGGGTTAATGAGAGATTTTTTATTTTATGTTTTCCTACAGTTTCTAAATTTCCCAATTTCTTTGTATAGTTGACCCTTGAACAACATGGGTTTAAGCTGCACAGGTCCATTTACAAGTGGATTTTTAAAATAAATACTGTAAATGTATTTTCTCTTCCTTATGATTTAATTAACATTCTTTCCCCTAGCTTACTTTATTGTAAGAATTCAGTATTTAATACATATAACATACAAAATATGTGCTAATCAACTGTTTCTGTTATTAGTAAGGCCTCTAATCAATAGAAGGCTATTAGTAGTAAAGTTTTCAGGGAGCCAAAAGTTTTATGTGGATTTTCAAATATGTGTGTGTGGGGGGTCATCATCCCTAACCTGAATGTTGGTCAAGGGTCAACTATACCATTTTTATAATCAGGTTTTATTTTTTATTTTTATTTTTTTAAGGTTTTTTTTTTTTTTTTTTTTAATTTATTTGACAGAGAGAGACACAGTGAGAGAAGGAACACAGCAGGGAGAGTGAGAGAGGGAGAAGCAGGCTTCCTGCCGAGCAAGGAGCCTGATGCGGGGCTCGATGCCAGGACCCTAGGATCATGATTTGGGCCAAAGGCAGATGCTTAACGACTGAGCCACCCAGGCACCCCTATAATCAGGTTTTAAAAAACAGCCAAAATAATATATAACATGTCCCTTTCAGTAAAGCTAACAAAAACTTTGGCCATGAGATGTCTTCCCAGAGCCACAGTAAATGGATGATGCCAGGTTTAAGTCACCTACTTCATGGGACTCAGGTCCACTGGTCCTTATGCCATCACAGCATCTTTCAGACAGGCTTTCATGCTCAATTTAACTCAAAACGGATGCTCAGAGCCCTAGTTAAAAATTCTTACAGAATGAGAATATAACTGGATGAGCCATGTAAAATGGCCAGTATTTAACCATTTCATTTCTGGATAAATATTTTCCGATCTACAAAACTGGCAACTTCTATATGGTTCAATCTAATACTAAAAAGTGACAGAACTAAAAAGAAAGTAAGGCCAAAA